CTGGCTTCTAAAAAATTAAAAAAAAAAAAGAATAAAAAAAAATAGCCATTTTTCGAGAAAGATATGCGGATTAATAATCAACCTCATTAAACTCGCTGTGAAAAAGAATGAAGTGAAAATGTTGGCTAACTATATAAACATGCATGTTAGGTGTGTATTTTATTTTATTTACCTAACAATGAACATGTATCATTTAACTATGGTAGTATAGTACAGAATAGTACTTTTTCCTTAAAGAAAGATGCATGATATAATAGTGTTCCTCATGTCAATGCACCATGAGACAACCTTTTTTTTTTTTTTCTTTCTTAGAATTAATTTATAATATGATCGTACTTACGGCTGCCCCTAAGTAGGTGTAGGATAGATAACTGTATGCTGGCCTGACAATTAAGTTACTAGCTATGGTGTGCTCCATCCTATATATACATACAGACTACAGTCTCGTCTGGAATGATTCCGTGAAGGATTTTAGCCATAAATTTTAGCCAAAGTGATATTAAATTAACTTTGATATATGGATTTTTTTTTGTTACTATTTCTAGTAAATGGTTATTCTTTTTATATATACATAGATATATTTATTTACGGTGTACTATACTGGTTTTTGAAAGAAGGAAAAGTCGCTATCTGCTTGTTCCCTAATCCCTTGTAATATGCTTTCTCTATCAAACAAGTTGGGTTGACTGAGATGTTGCCTATGCCTATGAACCAAACAAACTCTTTTTTTTTTTTCCTTTTTTTTTAATTTTATTTTTATAGGACATCTTCATATATCACCTCCACTTGTAAGTAGTTTTAATTGTTAAAGAGTAGTATTGTTGCACACCAAAAAGTATTAAATATCAATTATTTTTCTATTGACACGAACTAACTCAATTCATGATCATGTTATTGATTTTCCTCGTAATCCTAGGCGAATTGAATTAAGCAGTTGTAGTAATTAATATTAACTCATATTTTTAATATATGTTGAGAAATTACACATTAATTAAGAATATATTTTTTTGTCAATAATACCCTTATTTAATGAAGATAGAGATGTTTTGAGAAAATGTGAATAGTGAATATGGAAAGACGTAATGTATTTATTAGCTAAATGTGGGTAATAATGGAAAAATATGTACAAAAGATCCAAAACGACATTTATTTGGTTAATAGTTGATAAAGTCAAAATGACCTCTAAAAAATAGGAGGGAGTAATACATATATCGGTTTTGCTATGAAGCCAACAATTGGCTTCATAGTGAAGTCAACCTTCTATATACAACAAGTAAACCTACCATATTCTATAATTACTTAAATAACATTAATATAAATTTATTAATAAGGTAAGTTTATATTGTATATAGAAGATTGGCTCCACTATGGAGCTAATTATTAGCTTCATAGCAAAACATATATAGCACTAGCTGCTCTCTTTTGTTCTTATTAAAGAACAAGATTGCATATCAAGTTGCATAATTAATTAAACCTACCAACGTCAATTCTCCCATTGACCACCTATAGCTATTTAAGAAAATATTGCACAAATTGGTCATTAATTAAAGTTGAAACTGGTTCCAATCTTGGGCCATATATGGGATGAATTTACTTTGAATGATGATTGATATATAATAATACGGTAATGCTCCCTTATCTACGGTGGGCACATGTTAATATGTTCACTGCTTATGTGACATGTACCCATTAGTGATGTTAATATGTTCAAAAAAATACATGATCATGTGTGCATGCCACATAATGGCATATTAACATGTGCCCTTGTAATTGAATTTGGTCACATGCATGTGAGCCATCACTATTACATATGCAAGATTATATAACATACACATATGTCTCATTTAATTTCTCAATTTGGCAATATGCATGCTGTGGGACAGAACATTTTTATCTTGGCAAAACAAAACAATAAGCATAAGTAACAAGAAGCTATATATATAGAACTAAATTAACGCAAATAGATCATGTGCAAGAAAATTGCAGTTAGATCTGTCGTAGAAAAAAACACATCATTCCTAAATTCTTTCCTTTTGGTAATTTTTGAAATTAAGGAGATAAAATTTTCAGATTATTATATGACTTGTCTGATAAAACAAACAAAGTGAGACTAGTGCTATGTGGCCCTTTGAATATCTGTTGATAATAATTATATGTAAGAAACAGCCCAATACTGAACTCACTCTAATTAAAAAGCTTGATGAAACAGCCCTTTGAATATCAGTATTGTTGTTGTCTGTGGAACTGATGAAACCTTAGGACCACTAATTTAATTTAATAAAGGCATCTTTTTTCTGATGTTACATCATTAAGTTTGTTAATTAACCATCCTTCCTACTACTGCTCAGTAGCGCAGGCACCTTTCAATTAATTTCACAACCAATCCTTTTTTAAATAAACTCGAAAATGTATATTGTTGAAATATCACTTGTGAGTTGTCTCACATTGATACCAATTGGTTTTGAGATGGAACTTCACTAAGGTGTATCTAGGCTCACTCTTTTATGGTGCGCTTCACCTGGTGCATGGGACCGCACTCTCTTCCCCCAATTATAATAGGCGCTATATCAATATTAGTCTACTTAAATTAATTTCAACCAGGTAATTAATTAAAACCTTTTCTTTAGTTTTATAGGAATATTTATAATGTTCTGGGTGAATGATTAATTCTTCTTGTTTTAAAAATCATGTTTCATAATTGTAATGTCATCATGGACATGTGTCGTTCATCCAATAAAATGAAACATGAATTTGAACATAATTTTGAAATAGCAGCTAGACAATCTCGGCCCTAAGAACTAACGAGTAACTAGGTAAAAAAGTCCATATTTATTAATAGTAACTCATAATAGTCTATAATTATTATGCAAAGTACATCATATATCAATAATTAATATTTGAGATGATAATGTGTATGCATTGAAATGTAACGTGAAATATACATAATATATATATATATATATGGGACATATATATGCTATGGCAAGTATACACACACCATATATATATATATATAGCTCGTTAAGCATTGAATGAACACCACAAGTACGTACAGTCCAGCTGGAGATGATGAACCTAGCTACTAATTCAATATCCATTAAGCAGCTCTTGTGAGAATGGTTGTGAAATATCATTGTCCATGGATCTTAAAGGATCTTCATATTGAATGCACAACATATATACTGGAATTTCTATACTCACACATATAACAAACATATGCATTAATCATAGTATACATCATTTTTAATTAATTAGCATTCCATTATATATGATAAAAAAAAAAACAAAAAAAATGGTCTCATTAGTTCCTATTTAATTAATTAGGCACCAATAAGTAGAGGGATTATTGAAACTTAATTATAATATTTTGAAATTTGAATCAACTACTGATTTTGACCTTATATAATCTAACTCTCCTTAATTCAAGTCCTCTCAAATTAAGTTAACCCTACCACAATGATATATCTAATTTTATTCAATTTATTTGGGAGTCCAACTACAATAATCAATATATCAAGATATATGCTACGTACCAGTTTACGCTCCCACAATGATTATGTGTTTGTACATTAATTAGCGCATTCAGGATCAAATATACGTTTCACGGTGGAAGCCCTTTTTTTTAAAAAAAAAAAATTAATTTCCCCTAGCTAGCTAGTTTGTGTTGTGTGCAATCATTAATTTATGCTCCCTCCTCATCAGATGGCATAATTAAGTGTAACGTTGGTGACTAGACATAAGTATTGTGCAGCAGCAATTTCTGCAGACTGCAATAACTAAAGTCAGTGTTGAACAACAAGAGAAGAAGGGAAAATTGAATGAGAGAAAATGCCCAGTCCAGTCCAGTCCATGCACTTAGTAGTGCAGTGGGCCTTTGGTACTTTACCTATTCATAATGAACATTACTTTTTTGGCACTATTTCAAAGTGGTCCTCTACAACCAGTTGCCCCAACACTATATACTCCTCCTCCGATCGAATTTTTATTATGATTTAAAAAAAAAAAAAAAAAAAATCTATCTTCTTTTGGCCTATTTTCCTCCACAGAATTATACCTAGAATTTCATTTCTTTTCCTTTTGAAACACAAGTAGGGACCACCCCCTATTGGGCACTGAGCCTAGGGAAAATTAAAGCATTTACAACCAATGGATGAAAGTGACACACATTGTTGTTTTGTAACACAAAAAAGTGTTTACTTATTAATTCTCTTTTCTCCTCCTAGCTAGGGATGATTGTGTAACCACTGACTGACCTAAGTACATATATATAGTCATTAGGGACAAATGCTAGCTAGCTAATATTGGTAATCTACAACACATGAGACAATGTTTTATATAATGTCCCATAATTGTATATACAACAAGTTTCCATGTTTGAGCTAATTGGCTCACTAATTTTTCTTTTTCTTTGTTTGGGGGTCACTAAACTAGGTTTATCGTGTATTCATTCTCCTTCGTCTTGTTTTTTTTTTTTTAATCTGTTCCACTCTACT